TTTTGGAATTTATTTTTAGTTTTTGGTTAAATGCAAGGTGATTTGAAAAGAGTTCTTGCCCATGAGACTGGCTTGGAGCCAAAGGAGCAAAGGTTGTTGTTTAGAGGGAAGGAGAAGGAAGATAATGAATGTTTGCACATGGCAGGTGTAAAAGATATGTCTAAGATTATATTACTAGAAGACCCAGCTAGCAAAGAGAAGAAGCTTGAAGAGATGAAGAAAAATCAAGGTGTATTGAAAGCATATGAAGAGGTTGCCAAAGTTAGGGCAGAGGTTGACAAGCTCTCTCAAAAGGTTGGTATCTGCTGTTTGATTAAGTACTTTTCGTGTGGCATCCTATGAACTAATTGGCGCTGTTAATGGTTGTTAGATTGTTGATTTCGAGGCAACTCTGCTCAGTGGCACCAAGGTTTCAGATAAGGAAATTGGGGTCTTAACAGAGTTGCTCATGGTGGAGTTGCTTAAATTGGATGCAATTGCGGCTGATGGAGAAGCAAAAGTACAGAGGCGGGTCGAGGTTGGTGATACTTTCTTCCTTTCAAAACTTTACCATGATTCATAGGATTTCCATGTGTATGGGAACCTTATCCATATGTCCTGAACAATAGTGTTGCTTTAGGATAAATCATGCTTGAGATTTATGCTCTATAAAGTTAAACAAGAGCTAGACTAGTGTCATACTGTCTTATCGAAGATTCATCGGTGATGTAGAGCTAGAAAATGGAGTGTTTTTTGCAGAGACTGAAAACCTGATGTGAGTATGATTTGAAGCTCAAGTTTGTGCAAATTGAAACGAAATCTAGTTTTAGTTTGTTGATAATACTTGAGAAAAGGATGTGAGGGTCAGATTCTTCCATTTGAACGAAAGGATGGGTGGGGGCTGGTTCTTTTGCTCCCAGGGTCAGATTCATACCTAATTATTTCACATGTGCATAATTTGAGTGGTCATAGAAAGGAATCCTAGGATTTAAAACCACTACAAACAAAATGCTGTTGCTTTGCTGTCCTGCAGCAAAATAGAGAAATTTCAATCCTGCAGACTGCAGTTGTGTGCAACTTTTATGCTTTTTAGTCCATCTGTGCCTTAGAAGTGCCTGCTTGAGATTTTCACTTGACAAAAATTCGTCTGATTCACATATAGCAATGGAGAATCACAATGTTTATAAACTTTATATTTGTGCACAGGTTCGTCGTGTGCAGAGCTTTGTCGACACACTCGACAAACTAAAGGCAAGAAACTCTAATCCATTCAGCAAGAAGAGCAGCAATGCAGTCTCAGTCACTACAAAATGGGAGAGGTTTGAGTTGGGGGTTGGAAGCCTAAATGCCCCAACCCCATTGCCATCTTCTACCAAAATAACTCAGGATTGGGAATTGTTTGACTAAGCTTATTATGATAAGCCAATTATACTGGTTTTGTATAAATTTCGAAGGACTTATATATATATACACACATATAATGTTGTCATAGGACCCAAACCCATTTGGTACAATTTTGCTTGTTGAAAGGGTGTTTTTGGTAGCAACTGAGGGAAGGGTCCTTGAACAAATTATATATCTGTAAATATGGTTTTACCATATATTGCGTACTTCTGATGCTTGTGTGCAGGTTGAAAAGCAAAATCTTTTTTAAGGACTTTTCTTATTGAGAGGGATGAGAGTATACTAAACCCACGCACACAACATGGATGCTAGAACTCGAACCCAGGATCTTGCCTAGGAGAGTAATTACTCCAAACCACTACATTAGTGGGTCTTTGCAAAAAGAAAAAAAGAACTTTTTTAATCTCGCCCTATCAAACTTCAATAATCAATAAACAATTGATACAATAAATAAATACTTTAACATTTAAAAAAAATTATAACTCGAGACCATCTTAAATCAACAAAATTCAGAGGATACAAATAACTAAAATACTATAATATTATTATTGACAAATTATTCATATTTTGTAAAAATAGGAATTAAGTTGGTGGGCTAGTATCTGAAGATCATGTTAATACTAAACAAAGGCCGCCCCACTTTTAGCATAATCATTTTTGGAGGAAGAAAAGAGTGTGAGATGTAAATAGTATAAGTATGCTATTGATTACAATTATATCAACTAATCCGTTGTAGTCTAGTTGGTTAGGATATTCGGCTCTCACCCGAAAGACCCGGGTTCAAGTCCCGGCAACGGAACTTATTTTAGCCATATGCACAACACTTTCTTTTCTCCAGCATTTTAGGTTTCTTTCTCTCTCAACGCCAAACTTGTAACGTCTATCTCTTCTTCTCCATTGTCACATAAATTTTTTCTTCTTCACTTTTCTTTTTAGCTTCAAATTACAGAAATCTTTTCTCTCACAAAATAACTCTTCATATCCATATTGACCTTATTTGTGGCTAGAAAACAGCATCCATAGCAAGGGAAAGAAGGAATAGTCAATTTTTGACCTTAGTGGCTTCCAATTTTCATTACTTTTGAAGTTTTCTAACCGATGCTATGTTGCAAAATAATGAAAGGTATTGGGATTGGGATTGTGGTGTCGATTTTCATATTTTAGATGAATTTTAAATGATATGTCATCTTTCTAATAAATAAAAAATATTATACCCGTTGCAAGAGAGTTTCTCTCCTCAACAAAAGAATCTGAATGTTTTATTTATTGTAAATCACACAAATTTAACTTACAACTATACATCTATCACACAAATTTTACATATCATATGTTCCACATTTATTGCAGTTATAATTACTTCACCCACCATTTTCTACTACTTGTTGTACTACCACATTGATTTGTAAGAGTTTACTCTAATCGAAATACATAAATTATTAATTGTATTGCCATCATATGATATGTTTCAAGCAAAAGTAGGTGCAAAGGTTATAAACAATGAAGATGTTCGAGGAAATCAAAATAAACAAGTGTCCTATCAGAAATGGCTGTTATTGTTTGGGTCAACACAAATTTGACCACTATCAAGCCATCCCCAAACTTTCCACACCAAATATTAAAATTTCACATTTCGGCTTGGGTTCCTTCTCCAACCATTGCATGCAGCCAGGCCAAATATCAATCCATGCAAAAACCCAGGCCAAATAGTAGCTTGGCTCTTTGCCCGTACAGAAAATAAGTGGAGTACAAGCGCAAGTCACTTTCCAGCCCACATGATTGTGCAGACCATTGCCCAATTCACGTCATAGTTGAGGGCCACAAATTCGAGGACGAGCGTGTGGCATCTAATATCTCAGTTTGAACAACTTGTTCTTTTATTTTTTTAATGGCTTATTATCACAAAAGGTCCCTAAGGTTTAGGAAACTATCAGATTGCATCCTTAATGTTTTTTTGTGTCATTGGTGGTCCTCAAGGTTAGTATGTGTAATCACAAATGGTCCATGCCGTTAGGTTCCGTCAAAAACTCCGTTAGTTTGCTGATGTGGCATATATATCACAAAACATCCCTAAGGTTTACTCAACTATCACAAATGGTCCCTGCAATTTTTTTTAATTTTTTTCATTTAAAATTCATAAAATTTTGGTTTTCTTTTTTAAATCTTATGAATTTTAAATTATTTTAAAATATACATTGTATTTTAAATACACATGACACTATATTATTTTAGATGTGGGTTCCACATATATGCCACATCAACAAATTAATGGAGTTTTTAAAAATTAATTTAAAATTCATAAAATTTAAAAATGAAAAAAATCAAGGGTTTAGGGTTTATAAATGGTCCTCAAGGTTAAAATCCTTATATAAATGGTTTTTTCATTTTTAAATTTTATGAATTTTAGATTATTTTTTTAAAAAACTTCATTAGTTTGTTGGTGTGGCATATATGTGGAGCCCTCATCTTCAAAAATATAGTATCATATGTATTTAAAATACAATATATATTTTTAAATATTATAAAAAACAAAAACAAAATTTTATGAATTTTAAATTAAAAAATTAAAAAAATTTGCAGGGACCATTTGTGATAGATGTGTTAACCTCAGGGATGTTTTGTGATATGTATATATGCCACGTCAGCAAACTAACGGAGTTTTTGACGGAACCTAACGGCAGGGACCATTTGTGATCACACATACTAACCTTGAGGACCATAAGTGACACAAAAAAACATTAAGGATGCAATCTGATAGTTTCGTAAACCTTAGGGACCTTTTGTGATAATAAGCCTTTTTTAATTCCAACCGAGGACTATGAGATCCAACGGTTGTTAGATTTGTTTTTAATATAGGTCATGTGTTACTTGTTATTACTTTCGAAGTCTCTGAAATAAAATGTTGTTATACTTTTTTTTTATTTTTCAGTGAAATTATATGATGTTTTAGGTTAAAATATTCAAAAAATGAAATCACGAATGTTGAAACAAAAATAATATCAAGAAAAATAAACGACAAAAAAGAAGAAGGGATTAACCGTTTTTAAACAATTTAATGCAGTTGCGGACTCAAATAATGAGTCTGCATGGTTGGAGGAAAAAACAATTTGAGTTTGGTTCATAAATAAATAGTTGTATTTTGAAGGGTGAAATTTTGAATTAAGCCCTAACATGTTTAGAGATGGTCCAAGTACATCTAAGAGAGTGAGTGACTCTCAACACTAGTACGTAGGGGTGCAAGTTGGATTGAAAATTCTGATTTCGTCCAGAAAATTTTCAATTTTGGTGAGTCCAAATCAATTCCGACATTTGAAAGTTTTGAAATTTGAGAATTCCGATGAAAAAAAAATTGTATTGGAATAGGAATGTATTTCAAGATTTTGAAAATTCTGAATTTCGAAATATATTGAGATTTTAAGCTTAAACTAGACTAGTTTTATGTTGAATTTGATATGACTTAATGATCAAATAAACATAGATAGCTATTTTATAAAGGATAATATCATATGACAGGTTTTCGAGCTTTTCTGTATAGTTTTTCAATTTTGAGCTAAATTTAACATTTTGAATCGTTAGATATGTTTAAAATTTTCAATGATTTTCTGAAACTTGCCAAAAAGATTCCAAAATATGTAAGTTAAGAAATTTTCCAATAATTTCGAAAATTCTGAGTTTTCCGAATTATAATGAATGTTGAAATTCCGAAAGTTTTTAGAAAATAATTTTCACTCTGAACTTTTTCGGAATGGAATTGAATCCCCTAATTCCGATCCGATCTGATCCGTCTGAAAATCAGCCGTACTAGTAAGCTTTGTAGCATAAATAGCTTTGCCATTCAAATTTGTCAATTCTATTTTCTTTTTCTCTTTTCTCTTTCCCCCAACCAAGTCGACTCAGAAAAACACAATGTTCTTCCTCCGAGTCCACTCAGTGGAAACCAATCACCCCCTCAGCCTCGAAGACGCCGAGTTCACCACTATCACAACTTCCAAGATCACCAGTGCTACTCAATCAAACCCTAACACCAGCCCCAAATTCAGCGAGCGAAGAGGCATAGCTCACCTGTTCCGAAGCATAGGACACTCGTCGCTGCCAAACAGTCCTGCCTCTCGATCCACTCTCCTCTTCGTCATTGCTGTTCCCAACTACCTCTCCTTCGACGACTTCATCCGCTTCTGTGGGTCCCGAGTCGACCATGTCCTCGAACTCGTCTTCATCAGGTACCGCTTCTAGATTTTCTTTGTTTACCGAGAAATTAAGAACTTTTGAATTGAGGAAATCTTCGGTTGGTTGCTTGATCAAAACCCTGAAATGGATTTCTGACGAAATTGAGGAAATAGCAAAATTTGTTTTTTTTCTTCTTTAAAATTAAAAAAAAAACGCGGGTAGGATTTTACTTCAATTGAGCCACTGAGTTGTGCCGGGCTTACATTGATAATTTTCATAAATATAATAAATCACATTTAAAAGATAAACTTGAGCTGACAATCTAAAAAAGCAATGCTGTGAAGTAAAGGGAAAAAAAAGGGTCTATGTATCAGTTCAGTGAATATCTTTGTTTGAAATTCAAGTTTCATTTTATCTATGTTTTTGTTTCCTTAGTGATCAAACAAAGTCCAATTTAGTATTTGCTTAATTGGATTAGGAACGATGGGATGGAAGATCGGTACAGTGTTTTAGTTGAGCTGAAGAATCAGATGACCGCCGACGGATTTTATCACACTTTAAATGGGAAGAAGTATTCGCCTGGAGAGGTAATGAGTTTTTCTTATTGTCGTTTATATTCATGTATGATGTATATTGTACATCTTATGTGTGCGATTTTCTTTGTTTGTTTGTGTTTTTTTTCAGGCTGAGGTGTGCCACATTCTGTTTCTGCTTTCTGTGGACTACACAGATTCAGATGAAATAGCTGGGACTCCACCAGAAGGATGTACTGAATTACCTACTTGCCCAGTTTGCCTTGGTGAGTCACAATTTTGTTTGGTGGGATGGGGGTTCTTCTGTTTATTTTTTTCAGAGATTTGATATTCTTGTGCCCAGTATTTATATGATTTTGGTTTAACTTTTGTTTCAATGTCAGAGAGATTGGATGCAGACACTAGTGGAATAGCAAGTACACTTTGTGACCATTCATTTCAATGTCCATGCATTTCAAAATGGACTTATTTATCTTGTCAGGTGAGTTGGTTTTCTGTTCCAAAATTTTGTCTTATGTGTTTAAGTTTATTAGAGATCTTGGTTGAGAGCATTGTTGACTGCACTACTGATATCAATTGCTACTTGCAGGTACTGAGGGACTCAAAATCCATTAAACTGGACCAACCACTGATGGTTTCAGTAGTTAGAAAAAATAAATAAATTTCTTTTGTAGATTATAATGAAATATTTCTATGTAACGATTGTGGTCTTAATTGGGTTTATCAATTTCAGCTTGAGTTTCCCTTGAGTTGGCATTGAGCCCTTTGTAACTCTGATATGTTTTAGGACTCAAGCAAAGTTTGAGAGTCCAGCTATATAGAAGAAAGTTGCTGATTTAATATTTGTGTGCCACTAGGTTTGCCGATTTTGTCAGCAGCAGGATGAAAAGCCAGCTTGCTCTGTATGTGGAATATCTGTGAATCCCTGGGTTTGCGTAATATGTGGTTTTGTAGGATGTGGAAGGTAAAGATGATGCACTCTTTTTTCTTCTTATATCTTTGGTTATTTCTGTCTCCAAAGCAAGAAAACAATATAGCCTACGCATCATTTACTTGATGAGCTATGGCGTTGTCTTAATTAAATTTGTCCAGCACGGAAAATTATTGATATTATTTGTTCTTCAAAAAGATATACAGAAGGCCATGCTGTTAGGCACTGGAAGGATACACAACATTGCTATTCTCTTGAGTTGAACAGGCAGCAGATCTGGGATTACGTTGGTGATGCTTATGTTCACCGCCTGAACCAATCGAAAATTGATGGCAAGCTAATAACTGATACGGATTCTCAATGTTTGTCAGTGGAAGGGGATTGTGACAGGTGTGAATGCAGTGACGATTCTGGAATTAGTGGAGCCCTCTATAGCAGCAAAGTTGAAACTGTATGTATTTATTTGAAGAATTTTTTTTTACTTTTACTCTACCTTGCACTATCCATTATTTGATGTTTTCTTATTCACATAACTGATCTTTTGATGTTGTGCTACAACAGATTGTAGACGAGTATAACCGACTTCTTGCAAGTCAGCTTGAGACTCAAAGACAAGTAGGTTGTCACCAAACCCACTTCTTCTTTGTGTTTTTATTTTTCCCTCTACCTAATTGGCTGTTGATCAAGTAATATCCTTTTCTTTTTCTTTGAATTCAGTATTATGAAGCTCTACTTATGGAGGCCAAAAGTAAAAAGGAAAGTTCAATTTTAGAAGCAGTGGAGAAGGCTGTAAATTCCAAGATGCTGGATATTCAAGCGAAACTAGAGAAATGTCTTGAGGAAAGAAATGCTGTTGAAGATGTGAGTTTGTAATGTGCTCGTCTTTATTTTGGGGTTTGGCATTGGAGTACTGTGTTTATGTGAAATCAAATTTTTTTTTTTCTTTCTGAAAGTTCATTTTATTTTATTGTGCCTATTTTTTGTGTTTGTTTCTTAGATCAACCGTAATCTCATCAAGGACCAAGAAACCCGGCGCAGGAAGTTGAAGGAAATTGAAGTGAGGTACATATTGTTTTCTCTCCTTCATTGATGGATGTCAAGTCTCCCTTTGTTTAGATACTAACACTTCGGATAGGACCATGACGGTAATAAGGGGTTGTCCAAAATCTGAAAGTGAAATATGGAGAGCCATTTAGTATTTGCCAAAACTTCTGTTAGTTTCTTTCTTCCCATCCTGTCCCCTCCTCTCCCACACAACAGATAGCGATCATTTCAGGACCCATGTGCCAGTGCTAGATCTATAGGATATGGCATAGAGGCAAGTCTGTGATTATTAATAGCGGAACTGGATTCTTTGGTTTTTATATCCTCCATGATTTAAACTCCTTTTAGGGAAGCTGCATTACTGAGGTTAAGAGAGGAGAAGATGGTTGATCTGGAAGAACAGGTATTGATGTTACGAGTTTCTGCATGTTAGCCACTATTTAGAGGTTGCTGGTTTCTCATCTTAACAAGTCTAAATGATGGTGGTGACAGATTAGAGATCTTACAGTCTACATCGAAGCCCAAAAAACACTTAATCACATGACGGATTCAGATGGCATCAAAGGGGGAACACTCTTGCCTGTACCTTCTTCAAAGCAATCTTCTCCTGCCAACTCTAGAAGACAAACAAAATCTGGCCGAAGACGGAACTAAAAGATGGGCACTCAACATGTCGTGTATAGTAATAATTGTGTGTCCAGTTGATTTTGGATCATGTAGCGATTTCAGCGAGTCTGAATCAACCAGTTGGCTAGGATATGGGTCCCTAGCCATTGTATCTTTTTCTTTTCTTCTAGCGAGTTCATTACATTGGAGATACTTCTTCCAACCTCCATAGTTCCTATAAATATTTGTACTAACATATCTTTGGTCAGTTGAACCACCATCAACCTGGCACAATACATCTACAGATTTCCTATACCTAAACAACATAGTTATTTTAAATTATTTAAATTATTATAATTTATTGAGTACAAGTACGGATTTTGTGTCTAGTGTGTCACATCTATTAGATTAAAAAGCAGTGTTTTTTTTTCTGTACTTCCACAGTTAATTTAGCTGATTTCTTATGTTAGATGTAAAATTGTGTTCCATATCTGACACTTATTTAAGTTTTATAGGATGTTGAATTTCACATAATTATTTATGTTTGATAGAATTGTTGGGATGTTGAATTTCATTGAAAGTTATGAGTACAAATATATATATATATATTTGACACAAATTTTGACACAAGCTTTAAACCCTTGGATTAGCCCACTATCAAAGGATGTGATTAAACAAATTAATTATTTTATTCTTTAAATAAGGACACAAGGCACTTCTTCTTCGTGCCTTCTCATTTACACCACCTCCCTTCTTCTTCTTCTTGCTTTTTCAGTAACCCTGAAATCACAAACTAGCCATCCAATTTCAGCAAACCATTCCATCCAAATCACAAACTAGCAATTAATCCTTAGAGTTAAGATTTATATTGATAAATCATTGTTTTAATAATCTACACAACAAGTTGCATAGTAAATCACATAAATCTAGCCAATTTGTGGGCGTTGGAGAGAAACTGGGTCTTTGTTTCTGTTCAATCAAAATTACTTCAGAGTTAGGGAAATAACGCGCCTTAGTTTTCATTCTCTTTATTTCCTATTTGGCTCTTTCCCTTCGTCGCTCTACATCTCTATGTCTCTCTCTTCTTCTCCATTCATTCATCTCCCCTCTACGTCTTACAATTTCCCACCAATAATTTTTACTTTAAAAAATAAAATAAAATAATGTTATATTTTAATCTATAGTATCGTACAATCTAGTTTCTTCTTCGTAATATTTTATTTTTATCACATAATAAATTTTTTCAATAAATATTGGTTATTTAGATGTTGAATATAAGTTAAAGCTAAAACATAGCATAGCATATGAGAAACTCGAAGAAAATCCAAATTAGTAGAGAAAATATGGAAGATTTCTTTGTTCCAACAGACCATATAGAAGATATAGCTACTTTTTTTTCCCCCTCTCATTTGCTTCAAGCCACAAATTAATTAGTAGAGAAGAGAAGATCGCAGGTGGATGATGAATGTAGAAGAAAGAGAGAGCAAAAAATGCAGAGGCTGCGATGGAACAAAAGAGTCTAGTGGGAAAGGGAAAGAACTAAATAAAAATAATTAATGAGATGAGAGAGAGAATGAATTCTTAATTAATATAGTATCAGAATTTTAATCCCAATGTATAAATATTAATTGAAGAAAATTTATTGTTTTGAGAAATGAAAATACATCACAACCATTAAAAGTTTATAGATCTAAAGGCCTAAAACTTGTGTCAAAACTTGTGTCAAAACTTGTGTCAAAAATATGGTGCCACGGATCCGCAGTTGTGATATAATACGACGGCTCTTGGCGCTAGAGACCAAGCAACATATATAAGTAAGTTATAACACACGGCTAAATTATAGGAAGGAAACCAACAAGAATTAAATGGCTAACAACTTCGATAGCAAGTAAGAAACTTGCATTGCGGGTAAACCTAGAAATCCTATAGACTGATAGGGTATAGCCGCGCGGCTGTACTTAAAAAAAATTCAATTCATAGCATATTTCATACGTATAGCCGCACGGCTATACAATTAATTAAAAACATTTAAAAAACATCGGAGTATAGCCGCGCGGCAATACATTTTATTTTAAAAAAAAGAATCCCCGTATAGCCGAACGGCTATACTGTTAATTAAATTAAAAAAGGGCCCCCAGTATAGCCAGGCGGCCATCCTATTAATTTTAATAAAAAAGGACCCAATATTGCCACGCAGCTGTACTATTCGCACACTTTCTTTCGAACATGAGACTACTCGTTTGCGAATCAAATTCTTTTTTCATTTGGTTGGAATAGTAAGTTACAAGTTATAAAGTGATAAAACTCAAATCACTTTAATTTTCTTGGAAACTTTTGCGATGTTGTGTTTGAAGTTCATTTGAAATTTTTGTAAATTCAAGCCAACTGATTACTGATCGTATGAAATCAATGTTTAAGCCAATCCCAACTTGACTCATCTTGGCTTGCTATAAGGAAACTTGTCATTAGAAAAATAAAAAATAATGAAACACTTGTCACATTATGATTGAATTATAAAGAGAAATGACTTTTTCTTGATTACACGTAAAAAGCCAAGCATTTTCATTGTCTTGGGAAGCCATTCCCATGAAACCCAAACACAAATCATAATCATCTTTGTTTTGGGATAGTATTTGGAACTCAGTGTAGGAGAAAAAGAAATCTGGTTTCAATGGAGCAATGGTTTTCGTTTGTGGAGAATGAGTTATAGATGCGCTTATTATAATGTCTACTGGATCCCGTACTGATTAAATTTCATCTTATATTTGTTCCATGTTATGGTTATTATGCTAAAGCAAGTCTTCTTCATTTTGTTTTAGGATGATGGACTTTAATGATGAAGCATAAGCGTGGAGCTGGGAATGATTTAGATATAGCTCATGTGGTTGCAGACTTGCTATTTTTTTCTTTTTCCTTTCCTTTTTTAATCAGAAGACTTGTTTAATTGTATTCTCCTTTTAGTCTTCTAATTGACAATTGGTGTTGGATTATGCCATAAAATATGCAGGTTATTGATGTAGAACATATGGCATAAGTAATTGAAGAGGAGCTGGAGTGACGCGCACACAAGGGCAACTCGGGTAAACTGTAGATTTGAGCTCCGAGCTCAGAATCGAGCCCATGATTTGTTGATTCGAAGAGAACAGAGTCACGAGTAAAACACATAGCTTTGCTATAATATATGGGCTTTTTCGGGCATCCGAGATCATTTAGTAGCCTGAAATATAGTTTCTACAGTTTTTTGAAACTTTGTTATTTTCCTATTTTAATTCCTTTGTTTTTTTTTTTGGGTCAAATAACTCCTTCGTTATTCCTAGAGTTTATAGGAGTATTTAAACATACTTTACATGTGGTTAGGATTATGTTTTGTTATTCCAGTTTATCAAATAAACCTTGAGGTTTCCTCATATCTTCTTGGTGGATTCCAGAGTTTCATGCTCTAAGCTAAGATTTTAGCCATTTATTTGTCACGCTGCCATTGAAAAGCTAGTGATCTAGTGAGCTTCATTTAAGCTTATTTGAGGGACACTCTTGTAAAACTCACCCGTGCTATATTTAATTTAAATCTGAAATCATATTTGACCCTAAAGGGTGTTTCTCAAATGCTTATAAGAAGAGGACTTATATATATATCATATAAGACAGGCAAGCAAAACCAGCAGCTAGGCACAAAAATGAAAAACCAGCTCACCATTAACAAACAGAGAAAGTACAAACTTGTAACACTCGGCAGCTAAAGGCCATAACATCAAACTACACTAGTCGTATGCATATATGCGCGACCAATTTTGTATTTTCTCAACCTTTTCTTATGGATAGTAAATTCATAATGATTGGACGCTGAGGAGTGTGTGCTGCTAGGAAATCCTGTGTTGAGTCCATCATATGGACCCCAACAAAATAAATGAGGAAAAGAGGCGTCAAATTACTTTTGGCAGGGAAACCCAAGAAGGTGAGGAATCCATACATGGTTAATATAATTTCAAGCACACATGCTGTCATTAAATCCGTTGTAGTCTAGTTGGTCAGGATATTCGGCTCTCACCCGAAAGACCCGGGTTCAAGTCCCGGCAACGGAACTCTATTTTTTATTTTTGTATCTTTCTTCATCGAAAGAGGTCTATATCAAATCTCTGCTTCACTAATATCATATAATATTCATGCAAAATTAATATTGATGTGCTCTTACTAATAAAATAATTTTGCAAGAAACCTATTCACAACTTTTTTGTTTTTTGTTTTTTTTTTTTGATAGCTAGTCACACAAATTTAACTTATCACTCCATTTGATGACACAAAACTTTTATATCTATCATAAGCTGCACATTTATTGCAGCCATAACTTAATGTTAAGAGTTTCTTTTAACATTCTTAATGCATTGGTAAAGTACAGAGTCTGTCATGGTTGCAAATGTTATAAATAATAAGATTTTGGAGGAAAACCAAAACAAAAGGGTATACTATATGAGAAAGTAATTAAAATGTGTGATTATGATGTCACGTGTGTAGAAAATAATTTTTCATATCATTTTTCTATTGTATTAAGTATCATTAAGGATTAGTCAAGGATATTACTTTGTATTGCTTCAAGATATTTTATTTAAAGACTGAAACTTCATTTTTATTATTGTCTAATATGAGGTATTTTGTTTTCATTTAACAATTAGTTAAGAAATATAGTTTATTTTAAAAAGGGTGAAACTAGTCATGTATGTTAAAACGGGTGAAACGAGTCATGTTTTTAAAAAATGAATCACTATTATTAACGGATGAAATAGATCGTGTTCATGTATGATACTTTCCACCCCTTAACCCAACATGTCGTATTCGTGTCAACCCATTAAGAAAGCAGATTGACATAAACACGACACGAGAAAGACAAATACGACATGTTTGCCAAGTCTAAGGTTATGTATAGAATACCCATTATTACATTTATCAGTTCCGATCCGAGCTATGATTCATTCTGCAATATCATGCCACATAAAATGTTAACAATATTTCATTGGTTGCCTCTATCACTGTGTATACGTTCCCAAAGGAACATGTTATTATTCAAAGTATAGTAATCCCTACAACAAAATTAGTCATGGAAACGATCGAACATTTTAATTTATCCCAATCATCACCCATTTTCTCACACTCTTACTACTTAAACTAAACCGAAGAGTAATTAGTCAAAGAAGTTCTAGTTGACATCAAACATTTATACCAACGGTTGCTCCTCGTCAAAAGCTGTGGTTGGAGACTAAGTGCTTTATGTTGTATTTCAACATGCATTCCCCACCAATTTATTTTTCCACTTCTTTGGAAGAGGTGGTTCCTTAATCCCTTCAATTCAAGACCTTTATCGCGTTTGTATTGATAGCTCAGGAAATAGTTAGAATTTGAAGCCGAAATCAACTTGTATAAGATTCCAAATTATCATTCGAGACATGGTCAAGAATGTTATATACAAGGCTCTTCTTCATACTGAAAAAAAGAATGTGATCACTATACTCTCCAAGTCAGATTATATCGCAGTGCCTAAACCAACAAAAGCCTACTCAAAATTTGCCTTCACTTTACACAAACATGACGATCTAAGCAAGTAACGATATCCATTGCTTCCAAGTAGCTCACCAGTGCTTAAAATGTTTTATGGCTCTTCCAATGCACCATTTGAATACTCCTCCCCTGCGACACCGGATGTTCCATTTGATAACCGGCTTGTGCTGTTGGAATTAGAATAAGTGGAGTATGTGGAAGCAGGGTTGCCTCGTGACTGCCGGGTCTGTGCAGCTGTACTACTTCTTGTCACTTTGGCACGAGCCTTTCTACCCTGTGGTGGAGGAAAGAACCAAAACATTTTTTAGTTTCCACCCTAGCGTTCTCATTCAAGGAACTTTCTATTTTTGTCTTCTTAACCATAAAATACGAACAAGTGTCTAACATATGAAGATATCAGAGAATCACCTTTCCCATACACTTCTCCAGATGAGGAGCGAACCTCCCAGCCATGATAGCTCGACCACAATTCATGCACTCAAATACTTCATTGGCTACAGAAGGATGGGTCTGTCCAAATATGTCAACCACATACTTGCTATTTGCTTCACCACTATTACTAGGATCAGCTACCCTTACCCGTGCTTGGGCTGACAGCCTTAGTTCTTCTTCCTCTTCTTCAAAATTACGATCAAGACCCAACTTTGCTATTCGATGACACTCAGATGCAACATCAACAATAATGGAATCAAGGAGATCCCCAAAAATATGTGACGTAATCTGCAACCACAAGCCAGAAGAGAAAGGCACTATGAGAACTATATTGTCAGCTGATTTTTACATGCACAGATGAAATATTCAAATTTTTATGTTCTGAATTACATTACACAAGACCAAGAATAACACTGAATTATCCATATTCTAGCCTTCACATACACAAGAACCATTCCACTATGAACGGAAAAGTCTTATAGTGCATTGAAGTAGCAACTTATGATAATGCCAAAGGGATTGACCTTTGAATATCCCTTGTGTAAAACATATATTAGAAATGTTAATTCCATCATTTGCTTCCATTAAGATAAGCAAATTCATATTTTCTTTCCTTTGTTCTGTTTTGGTAACTACAGAACACAACCCTTGGATCACGAGCATTTGCTCTTTACCCAAAAGCAGTGATCAGCAAACCAAGCATATGATGCCCCAGGACCATGTCCACAATCTACAATGAACAATTTACTAGTACAAACTACTTGGCTATCAAACACTATAGCTAGTGATGTCAAGAACATATAAATTTGATTAATGACTTGAACTGGTGCATCAACTATAACTAAACATAATCAGTCCTTAAATAAGGTTGTTAAACCGTCTATAGGTTGATAAGATGCATATCAATGCACTTCAAGACATAACAATTGAAAACCCACAAAAATCACCAAGCCATTCTCATACAGACCCAAAACAAAACTTCAAAATCCATCACCTTCTTCTGGGTCAGAAACCACAAAACCAAAATAAAAAGAAGGAACAAAGGGTGTTCCTTTGAATGTAAATGAATAAATACCTGAGTATCAGAGGAAGAAGACATATCACCTTCATTTGGAAGCGACATGAGGGAGCTAAATGGGATTATAACCTACCCAAAAACAGAAAAATTGTTAAAATTAATCATCCAAGGAAAACAAGAAATCATTTTTATGACAGCAACTTTGGTACAACCCAAGAATTTATAAGAACCCAAAGTAGTCCTTTACTTATAATGAAATTTAAGCGAGATTGATATGAACTGATCGATCTAAGCAGCAAAACTCTGCAATACGTGAGAGAGAGAGGACTCACTGATTGTTCGAAAGGAAAAGGGGAAAGTGCTCAGAAGCTGCTCTGAGACTGAGGCAGAGAGGGAAGTGATCCCAAATCGATGGAATTGGGATTTTGGGAAGGAGAACAGAGATTATCCACTGCGACGCGCTTTCTTCTGTTCTTTCACTTCAACCTATGGGAGCTTGCCATGCCCCATTTTCTTAGCTTCTTGTAGAAGAAAAAAAAATTAAACAAAAGTAGAAAAAATAAAAAGTTCCGTTGCCGGGAATCGAACCCGGGTCTCCTGGGTGAAAGCCAGATATCCTAACCGCTGGACGACAACGGAATGTTGATTATAAGTTGATTTGAAAAGATATTTATTAGGATTTTGTGTAAAAAAAAAACAAAAGTAGAAAAAATAAAAAGTTCCGTTGCCGGGAATCGAACCCGGGTCTCCTGGGTGAAAGCCAGATATCCTAACCGCTGGACGACAATGGATTGTTGTTTAGGTTTAACAAAATCTAAGTATATGCTCCGAATCAATTTCGTGCTGTTTGCTGTTTGCTTTTTGTCTTTTTTATTTTCTCCAAAATTAACTTTAGAATCAGTTTCAATACTAGATTATATTACGTACAATAGGAAACTAATGAATAAATGTAAATGTACCAAGATTCTTATGCACCAGTTCATCCTCCTCGTTTGGTACACAGGATTGGCTTGGACTAAATTTAGTACCATGTTTGCTTTATCTAATCCTAGTCTTAGATGAGATTGCTAATACCGGGCCCACCAAAAACACCTCCTTAGGAGGGGACTACTAATCCTATGTGGAAAGGGAGGATTAGCTAGTCCTAATGGTGACCAATGTATAAAATGCATATATTATATTGTAAAATTAATAACATATATTATTATTATTAAACTTACTTACACATATACTATAATGTACATATATACATGTATATACACATAAATATATCATATATGTATATATGTATATATATACATATACATATATACATGTATATTATTATTATAATATACCCATATACACATATACA